AGCACTCAGGAGGCTGAGGCAGGAGGATCACTGGCAAGTTTGAGGCCAGCTTGGACTACATAGTGAGTTCAAAGCCAGCCTGAATTACATAATGAGACCCTATCTCAAAAAGAAAAAAAAAAAGCAATCAGAGTTTCTCAGGTGAGACAAAGGAACCAAGCCACTCCTAGCTCTATGGTAAAAAAGCAAAAACTGAAACCCATGAAACCTCATGAATTCTATTATCAGATCCATAGTCTTAATTTGAGAATTTTCATGTACTGTTCTCACTCAGAGTAACAAAATCAGGTATAATTAAGGTGGGAAATATAACTCTTGGTTTATAAATATCATCAATTAGCTTTTTAATCTACAATGAAAATAACATCTTGGTAAAATTAAGTTTTTAGAAATTGTTTTTGGGGGGGTGCTCTTACTGGGGATTGAGCCTTGGGTCTTTGCACTGAGCCACATCCCCAGTCCTTTCAAAAATACTTTTAATTATGAGACAGGGTCTTGCCAAGTTACTGAGTTGCTCAGACTGGGTTGCAGCTTGCAGCCCTCCTGCCTCAGCTTCCCAAAGTGCTGGGATGGCAGGCATGTGCCACCACCACGCCCAGCTAAACTTTAGTTCTTTAAAAATTAATTGTTTATGTAACTACAGTATAAAACAGAGCCATAAGCATGACTTTTTTTTTTTTTTTTTTTGAGACAGGATCTCTCTATGTAGTTCAGCCTGGCCTTGAACACACTATATAGCCAAAACTGGCCTCAAATTCATGCCAATCTGCCTGCCTCAGCTTCACAAGTGCTGGGACTACAAGCATGTGCCACCATGCCCACCAGCATGACCCTTTAAATGTATCACTCACACAAGTCACAAACATAAAGTAGAATTATACTTAACACCCTTGTGTAACTTGTCCAAATCAAAAAACAAAATATTTCTAGTCTAGTTTACAAACATGATATTTTAACATATGCAAATATTTTAAAAACTACCACAGAAATTTGAATGATTAAAAATTTCTGCTGGGTATGGTGGTGCACACCTGTAATCCCAGCACTTGGGAGGCTGAGGCAGGAGTATTGTGAGTTTGAGACTAGCCTGGGCTACAAAGTGAGCTCAAGGCCAGCCTGAACTGCTTAGGGAGACCCTGCCTCAAAATGACAAAAAAAATAAAAAAATAAATTTCTGCATTTATGATACCTAGGAAACTTGGGCTTATCCAGAAAGAACTTTGGTTCCTGTTTTTCTCCAATAAATTTAAAAGTAGTTAACTTACTTTTCCCTTTGTATGAGGTGGATTTATTCTTTTGTAGTCCATTGACTATCAGTTCCCACTTAGCTTTGTAGTAAGATAATATTGTATTTAGATGGTCATCAGTATTTCTAGATATATCTTAACACATGGAAGGTATGAATTTTTATAGTACAGCAAAATTTTCCATTGTTTTAAAATTTTATCTGTTTTTTGTCTTTTTGAGACAGGGTCCTGCTATGCAGTTCAGGCTCACCTTGAGCTCACTTTGTAGCCCAGGCTGGTCTCGAACTTGAAATTTTATCTTAATATTCACATGTATTTTTAAATATATTGGTCCAATTGGTACTGGGCAGAATTTTGCATATTTTATTTTACTTAATATTCATGTGTATTTGTGTTTTTTTTGGTACCTGGAATTGAACTTGGGATCTTGCGCTTGCAGGCAGGCGCTTGTGCCACTGAGCTATATCCCCGGCTCATGTGTATTTTAAAATAAGAATTGTTCCCGGTACAGCAGAAAAACCAAACAAAAAACAAAAAAAAAAAAAAAAAAAAAAAAAAACAACCAGAATAAAATAAGAATTGTGTGCTTTCAAGGATATTTCTCACCACACCCTTACCCTTTACCAGCAACCCTGTGGCTTATCTTTATGACCCTTGTGTACGCCTTATGTGAATCTGCTTTGTAGTCAGACAGCCTGCGTTCAAACCCCAACTGTCCTGCTTACAAGTTGAATATAAGGCAGATTGCTGATCCTTTCTAAGTATCTTCTTCTTTTCATCACCAAAACACGCCTCACATTCCAGGCCCTTAATATATTGCCTGCACCTACTACTCAGCCCATTAAGTTTGAGCTATTATGATCTTTTTAATCGCTATCTTTCAATTTCCCCTTCAGAGCTCCTGCTATTTTTGCTGCCACAGTTGTTAGTACCATTTCGTTTCCTTTCCTATTATTTCCATCACGTGACTGACTGTCCTTCCACTGTAACAAGAACAGAAGTGCAGGTAGCTGGAGCTCCCCCACAGCCCCCAAACCTGAGATTCCAGCGGAGTCTTGAGTCGACTTGGCAGGTAGCGTCCTGTCTGGGAGACCACAGGAGTGTCACACCTCCGTGTCACAGGCTGGGGGAGATTCTTACCTAAGCCACATTCTGGGACATTTCTGTTTGCTTTATAAAAGTAGAGGAGGTATGATACCAGCATAGACTACAAATATTCCAGGTATAATAACCCAACTTGCAGCCAGGGTAGTCTGTTCTTTGTAAGAATTTAACTTTTATTTGACTTTCCAACACTTCGTGAAGAATGGAGAAAAACAGGTTTGCTCAGTGGCCTGGTCATCTGGGAGAATCTTTGAGGCTGACTGCCTTTTGCGAGCAACATTTTATGGAGATCAAGTTGATTTGCAGGAAGAGTCCTGATTAGGGTAGAGCTGAAGAGATCGTTATAAAATATGTAGATGTTTTAAGGGGGCCAGAAACAGCGGGTGGGAAATGTGTGGAGAGAGGACGGATTTAAGAATAGAACAATATTACATTAAGGAAGGGAGAAAAGCAAGGTAGGAGGCAGGGTGCTTGGTTGCTAGGCAGCTGTGAACAAGGCTTTTGGCGTTGCCTGGGTAACAGTAGAAGGGGATAATGAATACTTCAGGATTTTTTAGGAATCACCTAGTAGTAAGTACCTCCTTTTCCTCTTCTCTGACTCCCCAACTTCCCTAATAGCCACTTGAGTACCCTATATACTACTTTGAGAACAAGCTAAATTATTTGAAAGTCAAGAGTTTAACAAACTACCATCTAATGCCAATGTCTTCTTGAAATCAGTTAAGCCTTTGTTGGTTGTACATCTTAGATTTGCTTATAATTTGCCCAGAATTGAAATCTTCCCAGATTTAAGAAAAAAACCATTTTATTATAGAAAATGTTAATACACACAGATATTTACAAGTAGAAAGTATATACACAAGTAAAAAGGATAGTGTAAAATCTCCCTATTGTCTATAACCAGCTTCAACTGCTATTTGCTCACGATTAATCTTGCTTCATTGCAGGGCTGGGGATTTAGCTCAGCGGCAAAGCGCCTGCCTGGCAAGCGCAAGGTCGTGAGTTCGGTTCCCGGTACTGGAGAAAAACCAAAAAAAAAAAAAAAAATCTTGCTTCATTGCTATCCTGACCCACATTTCTCCACACAACCCCCCCCCCCCCGGTTTCTTGGGCTTAGATTATATGGAAGCATATTCTAGACATTATATCATTTTATCAACAAATAATTCAGTATGAAACACTAAAATATGAGGACTTTTGGGTGGTGGATGTTGTGTTAGGTTGTTTGAGACACTGTCTCTCTGTGTAATCCAGCTGAACTCATTTTTCTTGCCTCAGCCTCCTGAGCACTGGGATTACAGGTATGCACCACCACACCTTACAAATAGGAAGGTTTAACAAAACATAAAAACAGTGCAGTGTCGCACCTAAAAGAGATAATAATTCCTTACTGTTTTCAAATATGTGCGCATTGCTTTAACTTTTCTGATTGTCTGCTTTTCTTTTCCGGTTGATTTGTTTGAACTGAGATTCAAGAAGGAAGCATGCATGTAATTTATTGTCATGCCTGGTAGTAATCCTCCATCTCTCTGTTTTCCTTTGCAATCTAATGGTTGAAAAAAATAGTGTGCATGTATGCACTCCAGTTTCCTAGCCTGGATTTTGCAGATTATGTCCCCATGGTATAGTTTTTGTTTGTTTGTTTTTTGTTTTTTTTCTGGTACCAGGAATCAAACTCACTACGCCGCACTTGCCAGGCAGGCACTGTGCCGCTGAGCTAAATCCCCAACACCCGTGCATGATATAGTTGAACGCCTTCCTTTGTTGTCCTCTGTATTTTCTGTATACTGTTAGTTAGGACTACAGAGGCCCCCTGGAATCAGGTTTGACCTTTTCTTGCAAGAATACTGCATAGAGGATATTGCATTATTTATCAGAAAGCACATAAAGTTTGATATTTTTATGACATTGGCAGCCACAGAAAATTATTGCAAAATTAATTAAAATGATTTCTTCATTTACTAACTGAAACTTCCCCTGAACTTCAGATATTTTCTTCTATGCAGTTGGATCTACTTCTGCATTTTCTGTTCTGTTTCATTAATCTGCCCGTTCACGTGCCAGGACTGTGCTATGTTTATAATAAAGGCTTTAGAACATTTTAATATCTTATTTTATCTGGTAAGGTAGCCTCTGTTTTCCCGGCTATTATTTGTTCTTTTGAATGAACTTTATAATCAATCTTTGTAACTTTGGGAAGAAAAGTTAACGATTTTATTTCATTAGGAGCACCTCACACAAAGGGAAAAGTAAGTTACCTACTTTTAAATTTTGTCCTAAAAACTTAACAGGTGGCTCTCCTGAGCTGATATGAGCCTATTCTATCTAGCAAACTACTGAGTTAGTGGACATAATCAAGGATTGCGATTTCCATTGAATCCTATGTTACATGAAAAAGCAAGTTAAAAAGATGCAGAGTAATACATCTTTTGCACCAGTCTCGCTCATTCATTTTGTGAAGACTGAAAAAATAATGTTGCTCATTTTAAGTGAGAGTTGGCCCTGTATCAAAAGTGCTTTGCTCCTCCCTCCTTTATTTCCATTTTTCAGTAAATAAGAAACAATCTTAGGTTAGTAGATTCTGTCATTGTGTCACGTAGAATAATAAATGCTACTTCTTATGCATTTGATTTTTTTTTTCTCCTTAAGGCTTAACTGTGTCACCCAGTGAAGAAAAAAACTTGAATCGTTATGTGCAAGTTTTAGAGAATTTAATGCTGAGTGTTCCCACGAAGGAGCCAGACCAAGTGGAAATATTAAACTCTCCAAACAATGGCTATTCTCCAGACATGGCTGTCTCAAGACTGAAGGCGCTCAGCATACCCGGAGATGCGGTAACTCTGGGCGGCACTCCCCCCCGTGGCAGTCTTGGGAGCACAGCTTTCCCTGCGACCAGCCCCACGCTGGGGACAGCAAGCAGCAAACCCACTGAAAGCACACCCTTCTGGTCCATCAGACCCAACAATGTCTCTGTTGTTTTGCACACAAAAGAACCTTACATTGAAAAAGAGCCAGAGCCAGAGCCAGAGCCAGAGCCAGAGCCAGAGCCAGTCGTGGAACACACCGAGACCCCCAGGTCGTCCCCGTCCACCTCCAGGTCCTCCTGGAGTCCGCCTTACACCACCACCCAACCTTCGCGCACAGATTCGGAGTTCTCCACGGAGTCTGAAGATGTTCCCCAGCTCTCAAACGAAAACCTCCAAGAGCCAACTGACCATCACTCACGGGTTATGAATAATGATGACATTTTGAAAGAAATCTCAGCTATCTACTCCCTGCTGCAACAGGCACCCCTGGGTGACAAGCATGACCCAGAGTATAAAGAGGTCATTGAGGGCTCTGAAGAGAGCCTGAGAAGAAGTCTTGCTCTGGCAGCAGCAGCAGAACACAGATTGGAAAAAATGTATGAATCTCATGTCTTTCCAGAAGAGCAAACCAGTAAGGGGACTTACGGCATTGAAACTGTTATTAACATGCTATATGATTCCAGATCTAAACTATCAAAATATTTAGATATGAAATATGTTCCACCAGAGATGAGACAAAAGGCAACCACAGTATTCAACACGTTGAAAAACATATTATGTGTAGGTCAAGAGGACACTCCAAACCTTATTAAGAGGTTATTAAGAAATAGTATAAAAATGTTGGACCGGGGACATAGCTCAGCAAGATAGCGCCTACCGGGTAAGCGTAAGGTCCTGAGTTCAAGTCCTGGTACCCGCTCCAAAGGAAATAATATAAAAAATGTTAAGTCTAATTGATACTCCATGACAACATTGATTTAAACAAACTGCATTCATTCACAGGAAAACAAGCACATTAGTGATTTCTAAAGTTGTGTATTTTCTAATGTAGTTCAGTGTGCTCACATCTTTATATGTCATGTATAATGAAAATTTTTATATGCACTGAAAAACCTAATAATTTAAAATAAAATTTTGGTTTTGGAGTTAGTAGTTTTTCTCATTAATTTAGAAAGTGGTGGAGATCTAATCTTTAAAATAATTAAGCTTTGATTTTATTCCAATAAGTTAGCTAAATTTGTTTATTTTCTGGTCAAGAGAATGTGTATACTCTCTGTATGCAGCCAGTTTAAAATAATTGTGTATAAATAGAAAATTTTCAGGTATATGGTCTTTATTATTCTTTCAAAGAATCTTGGTTTTCTATCTGAATAGCATAGTCGGGACTTGAATCAGAAATACTTATATTTGCATATACTTGTGCCTCCTTTGAAAGGTAAATGGTATATCAAGATACATCCCTATTTTTTCGTTATTAAGTTATTTGTGAATATCAGTGAGGGACTGTAACATGGATTTATAATGAAGTCATTCTCATTTATTTTTTCTCTTTTAGTTTGTGTACATATGTATCAAAGCTTTGTTTTGACAGGAAGTCTGATTGATACCATTAAGATTAACTGTGTAATATTATTGTGCCAGTAATTCTGTTTCACAATTGCATTCAAATTCATTTACTTATTTAGTTATCAAGCCACTCATTTATAGTTTAATAAACAATTATTGACCTTTCCCTAGGACAAAATGGTAGGCTTTGGAGATATCATTTTAAGACCCATGTCCTTTTCTCTTTGAGGATTACATTGTAGTAGGAAAGATAGGCACTAAACAAATAATTTCAATAATTTAAAAATTTTAGTTGAGACAAGTTATGAAGGTGAGATATTTGATCTCATGTAGCCTAGGTGTTATGGGAAAGCTACCCTGAGAAAATGACATTTAAAGTGACATCTGAAAAATGAGCATGTGTTTAAGGGATTGGACATTTGAACCAAAGGGAACAGTTTGCATGAATGCTGGGTTGAGAATAAACAAGGTGGGTTGAGGAAGTGCTTGGAGGAGAAAAAGCCCAGGGAAAGCATTTCTGGATGGAGAGGTGGAATATTCAAGGTCAGAATAGATCCTGTGGGCCTCACCATACATATTGAAAATGTTGGCCCTTGTCCCCTGATCAATATTAGTGGCTTTTAAGCAAAGACTGGCATGGTCAAATTTGTATATATATATATAGATATATATAGATTAGATATATATTAGATATATATATATATAGAGAGAGAGAGAGTATGTGTGTTAAAAACAACACAGGCTACAGTTTGAAATAGGCAAAAGGAATCATGTACTGTGCCTAGGCATTAACTGAATGCATATGTGTAATTGAGGGAGTAACAAGAGATCAAAAATAATGCCCTCACAGCAGTATTATAAACAGAATTATATAGTTTTTGTTTCATAAAAACAGTTACTGTTGATCTTTGTTTTTTAAAAAATTGCTATGAAAATTTTTAAACATTTGCAAAAGTTAACAGTACTATAATGAACCCATGTACCCATGGTCCAGCTTCAACAATTCTCTACTAATGGCCAGTTTCCTGTCCTCTGTACCTCCACTCCTTCCCCTCTCCTTGTTCATTGAATTAAATCCCAGATACTTTTATCACTTAATCTCTATAAATATAACAGTATGAAGCTCTATATGTCTTTAAAACAATATAGCAATATCACATATAAAAATTTAACAATTCCTCAATATCATCAAATATCTAATCAGTGTTTAAAATTATTAGACAGTTGGAAATGTGGAGTTTCTTTGTATAAATTAAGATCAAATAAAGTTCACACACTGAGATTGGTTGATTTGACTTATAAATCTCTTCTAGCCTAAGGATTCCCTTTTCTCATCCTTATTCCCTTTATTGCAGTTTATTTATTTATCAAAGAAACTGGCCATTTGTCCTGTAGTCTCCCAAAATGTGGATTCTGTTGATTGCATCCCTTAGTGCCTTTAGCATGTTCTCCTGTCCTCTGTGTTTTCTATAAATTGGTGATTTTGATCTACAGAGGCTTCATTAGACTGAATTTCATGTTTTTCTTTTGATTTGTTTATTCTTTTTTGACATTATTGTGATTTATTATTCTATCTGATCATGCCTCTTTTTTAATTTTTAGCAGACTTTGATGATCATCACCTAGATGGGTTAATAAATCAGGTGATAGATAGTAGAGATATTATTTCTTCCTTTATTAGCTAAATATGTCTTTAAAGAGAAATTTTATCTATTGTTTGATTCTTTAGTGGTCCAGTGTGTATTGGAATCACATCAAATGCTTGAGTCTTTATCTTTTCTTAAGCAATTTAAAAATAATTAGTTCATAGAACTCTCCATTGATGACGTTTTAAAAGCTGTTAGTGACCTTCATTTCCATCTTCTCCCCAGGTAGTTTCAGTTAGTAGATTCTCCCATTTACATCTTGTGCTAGTGTTGGACCCTTGTTAAAACTGATGAATCAATGTTGACACATCACCACCTAAAGCCCATAGCTCATACTAAGGTTCAATCGTGGTGCTTGTCTTGGTCACTTTCCTGTTGCTGGAACAAAATACCTGATACCCATAATTGAGAGGAAGAGAGGTTTATTTTGGAACACAGTTTCAGTCTATACCGAGCTGGCTCCAGAGTAGAGATGGTGTGGGAAAACGGCATGGTGGAAGAGTAATTGGCAGCCAGGAAGCAGAGAGAGAAGGGAAGAGCTCCAGACAGGAATATCCCCTTCCAGGTCATGCCCCTGGTGCCCTACAGCCAACCAGTCCCCACCTCCTACTGCACATTCAGCTACTGAACTCATCAAGGACTGAGTCTACTGAGGAGTGCAAGCACCCCCAAATCCAGTCACTTTCTACATATATAAAATTTTGGGGGACTATGTAACAGTGTTACACATTCTTTGTGTTAGGACAAATATACCACCACATCATTGCTTGGATTCAGAAATCACTAGCCAGCTGGGCATGGTGGTGCACACCTATAATCCCAGCACTCGGGAGGCTGAGGCAGGAGGATCCTTGCAAGTTCAAGGCTAGCCTGAGCTACAAAGTAAGCTCAAGGCCAGCATGAACTGAATAGGGAGACTCTGCCTCAAAAAGACAAAAAAAAAAAAAAAGAAAGCACTAGCCAGTTTGCTTTTTTTTCCGCTACCTTTTGGAGGGTTCTTGTTCTGTATGCAATGTCCAGGAAGTTTAGTTGTGTTTAGGAATTTGTACTTTGTCCTAAAGACAATAAACATATTTTATAATATTTTAAGTATTTTCAGCTGCCTGGATTCAAGGTAGATAAAGGATGTGGGGGAGCAAAAGTGGTGGTAGAAGCAAGTTAAAAGACTATTGCAAGGATCTGGTGAAAGATTATGATGTTCAGGATTTGGTGGTAGCAGAGGAGATGGAAATAAGTAGTCAAATATGATATATTTAGGAATTAAGAATCAGCAAGGGATTACAGTCCAAACCATGGACAGGAGAAAAGCTCCCTTCATCTTGTTTTATTCCTTTTCTTTCTATACTTTGCACTTGAATAATTTCAATGATCGTGTTTTTAAGTTCACCAGTTCCTTCTGCCTGTTCAAATCTGTTGAAACTCCCTAGTGAAAATTTCATTTCAGTTATTGTACTTTTCAATTCCACAATTTCTATTTAGTTCCTTTTTGTAATTTCTCTTTGTTGATCTTCTCATTTTATATTCATTTCATTTTACAAATTTCCTTTGGTTTTTTGTCTCATGACTTTGTTTAGCTATTTGAGCATGTTTAAAGACAGGTGACATAAATAAAATCTTTGTCTAGTAAGTCCAATGCCTTACTAAGTAAGTGTCATGTTGTCTCTCTTATTAAGAAAACAAACTCTGGAAAGATAGAACCACCTAACTAAAGCAAATAGGTTTCACTATGTAGTATTGAAAACTTAAGCAGGGAAGTTGTTTAGAGAAGGATGGATACAAATTAAAGTATTTCTTAATTTAATGAAAAACAAGAATTTTGCCAAGCCTGGTGGTGTGCACCTATAATCACAGCACTCAGGAGGTTCAGGCAGGAGGATCACCATGAGTTTGAGGCCAACCTGGGCTACATAATGAGTTTTAAGACCAGCTTGGACTACATAGTGAGACCCTGCCTGCCCCCAAAGAAGAATTTTTATAATTGCAAAACAGGTATATTTCTTTACATACAAATAAATTCTTTTATACAGAATAATTTGTTTCATAATCCTATTAGTGGGTGTAGTAGCAAAACTTATTTAGGATGGAGTTTAAAAATATTGTTCATATTTTTTCAATTAAAAAGTCTTGGTTAAGATGGTAATTTCAAAATTGGAATAGCAAGAGCATTCGAAACAATGTATAAATAGTATGAAATGTTATTTCTTCCAATCTCTCAGCATATCACAATTTAAATAGCTAAATTTATTTAGAAATTCATGGCAAAACTATAAAAAGCTATGCCTCATTTGATAGGCTTTCTGGACTCTTGCATAAAACTAATTTTCCAGATAACCACCTTATGACTTTAAGTATATTTTTATTTTCCTACTTTAAAGATAATCTACTCTTTGTTTTTTTGGGTTTCTTTTGTTTTTTGTTTTTTTTTCCGGTACTGGGAATCGAACTCATGACCTTGTGCTTGCCAGGCAGGCACTGTGCCGCTGAGCTAAATCCCCAGCCCCTAGATAATCTACTCTTAAGTATAATGAATGCTTTTCCTGTTTTAGTAAAAGTATTCTGAACAAAAAGAGGTTGATCTTTGCTTGACTTGGCATTCAGTCATCATTCTGAACAGCAGACGATGTGATGGTATAAAGTTCAGAGTATCTGGAGCTAGGGTAAAAGTAAAGGCTGTTTACTAAGTGGTTCTGGTATGCTTTCCTTTCTGAGAGCATTTGCTAATGTTTGTGTGTGCACACACGTGTGTGTATGTGTGTGTTTCCTCCATGTCATGTAATGTATCACCCTCCAACTACTACTCTGAGCTGCTTTAAAAATGGGGGAGGTGATGGGGGGGGATCAAAGAATGTTATACGCATGTTAACAGTTTGCCCAATGGAAGCCTATTAAACTGTAAAACCAATTTTTTTTTTTTTTTGGTTTTGTAATTTCCC